CCCCCCTCATTTCATAGTGGGGTATGGGATGGGTAAAATATAAATATATACAGGAACCTGACAAAGTCATCCCTGGTCACTGTTTCAATGCCAAATCACCATGGCAGCGCTGTTTCCAAAAAGCCACCCCCCAGCCACCCCAGGAGCCAACCCCAATGGAACGCTGATACCCAATCAAGGTTTGTCACCAAAAAAGCCGACCCAAAGAGTGCAAAGACCAATGGAACGCTAGTTCTGAAAGAGTGTGGCTTTGATTGGTTTCCATCCGCTTCGCAACGGTTGTTTAAAAAACTAGTCACAATGTAGTGAAGCCAAAAACATGAAATCGCAGCGACGCACTTGGGAGCACAACAACTTGAGACAGAATCAATAGTGTGCCCTTGCGGCTTGGTCGAATTCCCAACCTATGATCAACAACAACAACATACATATAAAAAGGTAGCCCAATTTGGACAAGTTAACCCGAGCACCCAGTACCACAAGCATCTGGCAGCAACACCCTGCAACGAGTGGACCTCTTCCTATACTGGAAAAAACACCACTAGCTCTCCCAGTAGCTCTCGCTATCTTGGTGCAATCTGTCCAAGTCCACAAGTGTTCCATTGCAAACTGCACTGGCAAGCCTGGAAATGACTGTGTTGCTTCCTGTACTTGTCTCGCATGTATGTGGAAAATTCCTCGTGGACTGCTTGCAGCACTGCAGAATAAGAAACTCATTGCTTCAGCAGGCATTATTAACCCCTTTTGAGTTGCCAGTACAGCGTTAAAACACCTTCCGATGAGAGCCCCAGCATACAACCTACAAGTAAGTCTCTTTCATTCCCTTTCCAACCAACAGAGTTCGCTTGTGTTTGGGAAAAAGAGACGACTTTCCGCAGAGCCTTCCCCCCAAGGCATTGTAGCAATCACTCAAAAAAAGTGACGACATTGTCTTTTGCCTGTAGTGAAAAATACTATAAATTTGATTCGATTTGTCATACTGTCACGCCAAAGGTTTTGAAATAATGTCCAGCCCTTACTGTGTCTGTCTACACAATGCTGGCCGCCGGCCTGGCAAGATCCATCGCTATGGGCCTTGACCAAAGCAGCATCATAACATGCACCGTTCAACTCAAATCAATACCTTTGCCATGTTGTTCGTGTCTACATTCACGCATGTTCCCGCATTCATTCTCAGAACAACGGCTATCTCAGGCAACCAAACATCTTACAGCCTTGATCTCCCACCTCCAGGCGTGCAAAGGAGGAGAATTTCTGCAAAAGGATTACCTTTGCTTCCAACGGAGGGATAGCTTGAGAAATGTTGAAAGGCTGCTTGAAGTTTGTGGCCAGCACCAATGGGGGAAAATGACTGTCTCTCTTGCCAGGCGAGGAATGCCTAGAGCTAGGATTGCTAGGCTTGCCGCCCCAGTCGCATTTGGAGAACCTGTCTGGTTGCCGAGTTAGTTACCAAACAAGTGAGGCATGCCCTCGTGGACGTCACAGTCTGTCCAACGGCGGAACTCTTGGCAGCATAGGTTAGTGGTGTGATGTAAATGCTTGGGAACGCCTTTGGTAAGCCGCCGCAGCGCTGCATCAGCGCCAAACTGCAGCTGTGGCCTCACACGAAGTTGGCTGCAGGTCTTGCAAACTGCTTGTTTGTTATGTTGACCAAAAACGATCCAAGGCAGTCATGACATGGCATGACCCGAGGACTGCCTTTCTTAATGTCTCTTGATGTCACGTTTGTGAAGCACACCTCTCCGAGACATGCTGCACTCGAACCTGTCATGTTGTGCTGAACTCCTTTCAACACCATGAATGAGGTTGAATGCGAACATGTCATGTTCAAGGCCATGGGAATTGCAAACAGTCCTTCCAGGTCCCTCTCATGAAATGAATGAATGAACGAACGAATGAACGAGCGAGACCCTCAGTGACCGATGGCCCACAACCATGTAGCTGCACACTTGGCATGCTTTCTCGTTCTCAGTCTCGCGTTCTGTGTCATGCTGTGTCGCACATACTCGTTTTGTGCATCTGAAAAAAAGCGACGCCGGGCCACCGGAAGGAAACAAAAGGCCATGGCACTTTTATCGTCCTGCCGCTCCTGCAATGGCCAGAGATGATGTGGCTTCTACCTCGACTCGACAGTCACAGGTCTTCCCCCGAAACACTGGGTGATGAATGACGACCTATGATAGCCTATAGACTAGTTGATTGATAGTTCATCGCTACGAAATGAGGGAGAAGCGGAACATCTCCGCCCGGCCCCAACGAATCGAACAAACTGGTCGCGATACGCAAACGAACGAGATCAGCTCCTCCACAAGAACGGGCAAGCACAATGCCGCAGATGTTGTCACTGCCTAACCAAGACACCCAAAAACTCTTCGATGACCAATAAATGCTTGACTACGGTCTCATTCTCATTCTGCGACTACGGTCTACCGACTGTGGCAAACTACTCGGCTTGCACCGTCTTGGTCAAAAGCAAGGCTCTCTGATGCTCCCTGCCTCACGCCGGAGCCGCCGAGGAGGCGAGGAAAGATGTCGAGCACGTCGAGCATCCTGGTTGGTTCGGGGTCCGGATGTGAAGGAATGCTAGTAGCGTCCTTGCTCCTAGTAGTAAGGCCAGGAGCCCCCAGTAGCTTCTTGTTCCTAGGAGGCAAAGGCATCTCACACACCCTGATTATATGATAGAAATAGAGCCTCGACATGAGCAAGGACACGACATGACATGATGTGCGAAAGATTCGGGATGCTTGTTTATCAGCTCCTTCTCATCGCTTGTCCCTTGCGAGTCATCACTGTCTGCAGCCGGCACCAGGATTCCCTGCCTCAGTGGTTTGCACATTGAGCGAGTTGGAGGTCACAGTCACATTAAAGCTGTTGCTTGACAGGGCCTTGAGTGGAATGTTGCTTCTGCCTGGAGCCCCTTACGGTATATAATTCTTCCCATAAACTCAATGTGCCTGCCTTTTCAAGCCCAGAAACGTCTCATCAAAGACCATCTTTTTGGCTTTGGAAAGCTCCTCTAGCAAACATTGAGCGCTGAACCAAACGTAAACTGTAACTACTTGGACTCGAACTGGGCAAAAACTCTTCGACTTGACTGCAGTGGGAGCTGAAATTGAGCAACACTCCTCGGAGTATGATTTCTGATCACCATCTGCATGTTCTTGCTCCTGCTGGTGACCCAGAAGGGATCTGAAGAGGCGAACAAACTAAATTGACGGAGCTATGTACTTTAGTTGGCGGACAGTTAGTTCATTCTCTGAGACAGCTAACTACATATATATATATATATATGCGTGTAAAAAATGTTAATTTATCAAAATTTGGACACAGGGCGTATACAATGGTGTAGGCCTGGGGTTAGTGCCATCCACTCTGACACTCTAACAAACACTGCGCGCTACAAAACCAAACTCCAGGTTTGCCCGCTTGCCTGGCCCTTCTCCAGGTCGGGTGCGCCATCAAGCTCATAGCTGAATCCCAAGGCGGATTGTGCAAGTAGTAAATCAGGCCTTGGTCAATACCAGCCAAACTTCCATCAATTCACGGCCTCCTTCGTTTGACAATGAGAACCCTGCAGGAGGAAGCTTGATGTAATGCACTCACCGCACTGCACCTCAGTGGGATGATGGATGAGTATCTGCTTTGAAAACGCCAATCAAACAGAAAGGCTTTACTGGGGTGTGGATTGTATGGCGCCTCCATTCCAGCACCTGCCGAGCCAACTGACCTGGGTTTGAAGTGCTCAACTCTTCCAATGCTTTGTGCAGTTGCATTCACGTCCTAGCTACAGAATTGAAGTGTATATGTATATGACTTATATTTATACCCATTATGTAAATAAAACAAAAAATATATATATATACACATGTGTTTGTTTATATACATGTGTATGTATATATATATATATGTGTGTGTGTGTCTTGAATTTTGCGCTGCAGCTGGGCATAGCTGGGCTGTCTGCAGAATTGCTTCATGATCATCTCCGTCCCTCCCATACCTCAAGCAACTGATCAATGGCGCATCTGCCTTCAAGCGAAAAATAATTTCACAATAAAACATAAGCGCCAAAATGGAAAGGATTTGTTCATCTACTTCCCATTCCACTCCTCTCAGTCCTCAAAACCCCTTGCCAGTCACAAATATCTCAGCTGCTCTTGGCCGCCATGCCAAGTGAAGGCATCCCCCTCGTCCATGCCGATGCTCAAAGGCGTCAAGAGTGATGACCTAGGCTTAGTGAACATCAAGTCCTACAAAGGTGCCAACCAATCCTTCAGGTGCAAAGTAAGCCTTTACTACGTAACACTATGTATCCTTTACTATGTCTTTTGCAAGCTTCTTAGTAACAATAAAGCTTTCTAGCAACTAGAAGCTTCCTTGGGAATGGTTTCACTGGGAATCGCTTCACCTGTAACACGAAGTATGTGTCCCTTCAGGTGCTTGAAGCCTTTATAAGCATCCAATCCACTTCTCAACCTCGCTTCAGCCTCTCTTTGGGTCTTGGAGCGCGGCACAATATGAACAAACACTTGGGCGCAAACGCTTCTGCTGGGACACTATTTCGCATGACCCGAAGGCCAATCGCCTTCGGCAGCACTACAAAACAAAGGTGAACTCTCAAAAGATTGGACTGACAATTATCAAAACTGACACAGAGCCGCAAAGCTAGTACTTTCCTGCTTCCGACTGACCCTCATTCTTGTGAGCGGGGGGACCATGCGGGAACAAGTTGATGATGTGAATCTTAGCGTGGGACACCGCTCCCTCTTGTTCTCTCCCTGTCTCTCTCTCTCTCTCCCTCTCTCTCTCTCAATCTCTCTGTCTCTCTCTCTCTCTCTCTCCTAAGGGCCATTGACACAATTGAGCTCATGGCCGAAATCCCATCTGCTAAGGGCCAACGCCTGGGCCCGGAGACTTAACAAAACTAGTATCCAGTATCCTACCATCAGTGTCGCTCTATGTCTGGTAAGGCGCGGCACACCTCAAGCCGAAAACGTGCAACAAATTTTCTGATTTATAGAGCCTGCAGCCTGCAGCCCACTAGCTTTCAATACGGAAACTACCAGTCGGCCTGAGTCAGTCTGAAAACGTCTGAAACAGTAATTGCGGTTGACTGGCTCAACTTCCGTAAGGGCCCACGCGCGAACGTAATCAAAGCAGCAGCTAACACTGTGGTCTTGTGACCACTACCTGAGATTTGCGGCTTACACAGGTGCATGCACAGCACAGCGTACTCAAGTCAGGTTTGTTCTAGAGCGGAGCCACGCCAGGCACCAAAAAGTAATCCTTGGATGTCTTTGGTACGAGTAATCAGCAGCCAATGATGCAGATTCCTTCGCGGCACGGTAACTTTCTTCAACGTGCTGCCATAGTCAAAGACGGGCCCGTGGCAAGCGGGCTCGAATCTGTGCGGTCGGTCATTGGTCAGCCAATGATCCAAAGTTAGGTCACGTGCAGTGCAATAAACCTTTGATTGGATTCCCTCGTGGTCTCAGTTGCACACGAGATACCCATTCAAAAATCACTTGCTGGGCAAAGCTGCATGAGGCTTCAGCTCCATCCCCATCACCGTCCGTCGCTAAACCATGGTCAGGAAGAAAACTGAACATTGGGACTGCATATGCACGATGCTGTCACAGAATGTATTTTTCAGCTAATACGAGGCATCCAAAGCATTCAACTACATAGCCCGTTCCAGGCACTTCACACAACTCTCAAGGTCCTATCGCCAAATGATCGCGACATGTTAAGGATCAGGAAATCACATGAAATCATAGCTAAGCATAGATGGGAGTGAAGTCTCAAGGCCATTAAAAAAAAACGGACCTGGCTTGATCTTTGGAAATGGCCGATCTCGGGAAAGGTGTTAGGTGTCAGGTCAAATTTGACCTGCGGAGCCGAAAACCTCAGCAAGACTGGCCGCCCTGGGTACCAGAGCCACATCTTATTGTAGTCATTGACCGAGTGCTACAAGGAGATGCCTGAAGAAACGCCATTCATCAAAAACTGGGCTATTCCTGGTGTCAAAAGTGGCGCTGCTCACCACAATCGCCGTCTGGGCGCTCACCACTATCACAAATACTGTAGCTGTAGCTGTCTGGGCTCCAGCATCCTCGCGCTTGGCCAGTCATATATAAAAGAAACTTCACAGCCCGATAGGGCCAGGACTACCGAACTCTAAATGGTCAAGGACATCCTGGAATTGAACCTTGGGAAAACTTCAGTTGCATGACCAATTTCATCTCATTCTCGTCAAAAGGATGCCTCAAAAGGCTCCTGACGTTGCTTGGCTTGTCTTTCATTTCACTATTGCACGAACGTATCATTGCCAGCTATTTTAGCACAACTCTAACTAGACTAGATTGATCACATATGCTAGGCCATGTGAGCTTTTCCTGGTTCAAGAAGGCTGCTAACGAGCCCCCACCCGCAACAAAGTCTATTGCACCAAGGCCCAGGCATGGCTAGTACAAGCAGTTCCCGGGCAAGCCGGCGGCGGAAGTTTCCCATAAGAACACATTGACCTATAGGAGTGTCCACGTTCTCTCCACCATGCGTGTCCCTCGTGTCACTCACTGAGCCAAACGCATGCGCTCCGGACTGTTGACACACACACACACACAGCGCCACCTGTGCAATGTCTGTGCTCCCAGCAGGATCAGCGCACTGGGTTGTGTCTATGCCAAAGCAAGATCACCAGCCCACAGCGGCGTGCTGAAGCAACTGGGCATCTGCAAGCGAAAGTTAAGTGCAGCTGGTGCGGGCACGCGAAGTGGGTGGTGTTTTCAAAGTCAAAATCATGTCTTCATTGTCCAGCTTGCCAAATACTCCGCATACTTTAGCAGTTGTACTACAAAGTCGCCGGTTCTCATTTTCCAGCTCCCCAGATACTCAGCAGCGAGAGATGACTCATCCGCGTACGAAAGTTGTACTACAAAGTCGCCAGTTCTCAGCTTCTAGCTGCACAGATTGCTCCGCGTACTCAAGTTGTAGTACAAAGTCACCAGTTGCTCTCTGGCTTGCTAGCTAGCGCCTTCAAACCATGGTCAGCTACATGTACGGATCCCAAAACAAAAGCAAGAGCTGACTCAGCAGCGAGAGATGAATGAGCAGCGAGAGATGACTCCTCCGCGTACTACACTGTTCGCCAGTACAACTCTAGTTGTACTACGAAGTCGCCAGTCCTCAGCTTCTAGCTGCACAGATTGCTCCGCGTGCTGAAGTTGTACTACAAAGTTGCCAGTTCTCATCGTCCAGCTTGCCAGATACTCCGCGTGCTAAAGTTGTACTACAAAGTCGCCAGTTCTCAGCTTCCAGCTCTACAGATTGCTCCGCGTACTAAAGTTGTACTAGAAAGTCGCCAGTTCTCACCATCCAGCTCCACAGATACTCCGCGTA